AAGTAGCTAAGAGAATACGCCATCCCCTTTCCCTTATGAATCAGGGTGAAGTCTCTCTCAGGGAGGAGTGATAGGGAATGGCAAAGGACACACTTACAAAGGAGATTAAACAGAACTGGCTTTGACAAGCACTGTGGCAATTGGACAATTAAAACAGACATTCAGAGGGCAGGGGAAGAACAAACTGGGGAAGAGGTTAGAGAGAATGGTACAGCAATGAAGGAATGAAATCCCAAAATCCCTGTAAATGTTCATTAATACTAATAAAATTTAATAATAAAAAAATAAAGGCATTCATGTTAAGAACAGGAATTAGCCAAGGATGACGACTATCCCCTCTCTTATTCAATATTGTATTGGAAGTCTTAGCAATAGCATTAAAACTAAAGAAGGGAATAAGAGGTATCCAAATTAGCAAAAAAAAATAGATAAAATTATCTCTCTATGCAGATGATATGATAGTATACTTAGAAAACCCTAAAGACTCAGCAAAGAAACTATAGGACAAGGTGGACCAATTCAGTCAAAAAGCAGGATACAAGATCAACATACAAAAATCAGTTGGATTTCTCTACAGTGACAAAGAGAATGCAGAGTCATAACTAAGAAACACAATAGCATTCACAACAGACAAGCAAAAGATTAAACATTTGAGAGTAAGTTTAACCAGAACCACAAAGTATCTATTAAAAATAATTACAAAACATTACTACAAGAAACAAAAAGAGACCTGGAGAAGTGAAAGAATACCCCTTGCTCATGGACGGGAAGACTCAATTTTGTGAAAATGGCTATACTACCAAAGGCGTTTTACACTTTTAATGCAATCCCAATACAAATACCAATCCCATTCTTCAATGAGATGGAAAAGACAATCTCCAGTTGCATTTGGAATGGAAAGAAACTCTGAATAAGCAAAACACTCCTTAATGATAGAAGAAAGGTAGACGGTATCTCACTCCCTGATTTCAAATCCTTCTACACTGCCATGGTGGATAAGACAGCATGGTACTGGTACAATGACAGACACATAGATCAATGGAATAGAATCGAGAACCCAGAAATCAGCCCATCTATCTATGGTCAACTGAATTTTGACAAGGAGATGAAATTAGTTAAGTGGGGAAACGACAACCTTTTTTTTACATGATTGATATTTTTTAAATAATTTTAATGAATATTTACAGAGATTTTGGATTTCCGTTCACTCATTGCTGCACTTCATCCCTGTTCAGCCCTCCACCACCCCGCCCCCCGCCGAGTTCACTCCTCCTTTTCAAAAGTAAAAGAAACACTCCCTTCCTAGTACGCAATCCCCCCGCACCCCTCCCACCACCCCAAGTACATTCCACTATGCAACCTTAATTGTGGACT